GTAACGACCGCGATCCAAGTTTTGTGAATTTTGGTCATGCGTCGATCGACGCAGGTGTTGTGCGTCGATCGACGCAAGGTTGATTTCGGTTGGTTCGATTTAATCGCTGTTTGGCAGTTTGGGTTAAGAGAAAACCCTAGGGCTTCGTTATAAAAGGAGGGGGCCGCATTTTTTAGAACTTTTTAGTGAGTTTTGGGTTTCCAGAGAGTTCCAGAGAGAAGAGAAGAGAAGAGATCCTTGAGTGTTCTTATCCCTTAAGGCGTGATTGAGGCTTTGGAGGCAGTTCTGTCTGGTTTTATAAGAGGAGAGTAACAGCCAGTAAGAACAGATCGGATCGGAGCGAAACTCTCAGGTTAACTTCTCCACTCTCTGATATTGATATGGGAAAAATGGTTTGTCAATCAGATGTGTATCCTAGGAGTTATCATTGTTTTACTGAGAGAGGTTTGTGTAGTTTCGGGTCTGCGATCAGTCCACTTCGGAGGAGGATTACCATCGAACCAGAAGAAGTCAGAAGACGATCCATATACTGTTGGGTTCAGATTTCACCCGCTCAACGTTGAAGTCTAAAGTTATGCAAGCACATCGCATAGACACGGAATCGCATTTAACGTACATATATTATATGATTCTTCCAAGTCATTTTCTAACAAGAAGATAAAGTCTTTCTCCTTTCCTAAGTCTTCTCCATCCAAGAAGGGAGCCTTCTCAGTCTTCTCTACTCGCAGCAGAAGTCATAAGTGCAGTGCCAGCGAAGCCACAGCGCCAGCGAGGTCACACTGCCAGCGATGTCACAGTGCCAACGATGTCACAGTGCCAGCGATGTCACAGTGCCAGCGATAACACTGACCACCAAAGACCTGCCAGAGTAGCGACAAAGGCCAGAAGGTTCCTGCGTTAAAGCCCAATCCAATTACAAAGCCCACTTCGACGCAACCGACATAAAGAAAAGGGAATCCGCGAAGACTTAGGAAAGTTAGCATTANCTTTTACGAAAAAACCGAGCCGACTTAGGGAGCTATATATATCAATGTAAAACTTTTGTAAAAGGGATCCGCAATTTTATTCACAAAAGCCTAT